AAAAGCGCGGGACAACTATGGTGCTCTTGTCACAATGCAAGGTGTGTAACTCAATAAATCCAAACATTCAAAAACCCTAATTGTTGTCATCTCTGTGTCCGAACTCTTATCAAACTAATACCATCCAGTGACTCTAGTTTTCGGTAGAGTACCTCGAACATCTCGTTACATGCCTTTAAGCGAGTGTGGACACGCTTGTCCCCACTAACATTTCCGAATTCATGATTGATTCCAAAATTATCTATCAACTAGAAATCAATATGTTGATGTGAGTGATACTTGCAGCTCCTTAATGAACATCTCATGCGGTGTACCGCAAGGGTCAATCTTGGGACCAGTTTCATTTTTAACCTACATAAATTCAATATCAAACTTGGAATTGAGAGGAAAACTTGAATTATCTGCAGATGACACGACATTGATTCATTTCTCCAAAGATTCAAATAATATTATCATGAACATGAAAAGTGATTTAGAGAAAATATCCTCTTGGTTACAAGTTCATAAACTATCTCTCAATCATAACAAATCCTCATATTTAGGATTATTCACTGCCAAGATGGAATATTATCCACTAATAGATTCCCAATTGCGATATGGAATACCTTTTTGGGGAGTGTGCAGCCAAACTTCTTTTAAAACTCTGTCAATTCTATAGAAACGAGCGATAAGGTATTTATGTAATGTCAAACATCGAGATTCTCATTTTGGAATCTGTTTGCCTGATGAATAAACACAAGTTATAATTCATTACAACTCCCATCCATCATACCACGCGCAACAACAATTTCATTTTGAAACTTCCTCTACCCACAAGAGGGTTTATCAAAGATTTCATATACTTTAATGGTGGGAAAATGTACAACCACTTGCCAGTTCATATAAGGTCAGCAAATCTCAATGACTGCCAATTTAGGAAGAAAGTCGAAAAGTTCCTCTGTAATAGACCCTAAACAGTTTGCAGGAATATTATAGTGATACGTTTGTATTTTTATGTCGTTGTATTTTAACCTTTTTTTACAATATTATCTGACCTAGCTTTGTCAACAAGATTCTCCTTCAGACAATAAGGCATATTATTATTATTATTATTATTATTATGTGTCAGATATTTTGACAACGCATAATATGTGATTTTAAAGTATGCTGAGCAAAACATCAAACTGTTCAAACTGGTTATCGTTATGTTGAACACACAATTCACACATACTGAGTGATCCGTGATTTCAATTCAAGAGAACATGATAAAGTTGGTATGAAGGACAATATAATGAAAATTAATATAATCAACTATGTTCAACAAGAATGAAGTTTTTCTCAACCGATAGGTATTTTTTTTTAAACTCAACGTAAAAATGGCGAAGGATATATTCATCGCCAATTTTGGCATTCGCAATGGTGCATTCACCAAACTTGCAAAATCCGAAATAGAATTGATGATTGCAAGGAAGCGTCCTCCGATCTTTTCTAAGGTGATCAAAAATACTAAATGTCACCTGGATTCCAGAATTTCATAGCTTCATGATATGCGTGCTATCTAAAGAATGCCATCATTGCAACTTCGAAATTTTATACAGTCTGTCTGTTCGGAAAAATATAATACTAGACAAACACAATCCATAGCAGAAATTCCTGAAAAGTGCAAAGGAATTTCTCAGGAATGTATTTGCTATGTAGCTACATAATAATATGCTATGCTACACATCAAAACAAAAAATTTCAAAAATGCACCTTTCAAAAACAAATGCAAGAAATGGATTTTCGCATCTGATATCACGATATTTAACAGAGTGTTCAATTGATATTCAGTTTATACAGTCTGTTCAAGATAAGGTTGCACAGCATGGGGATCTCGGAAACGGTAGGAGATACGAAGTCGGTTAAATGGGGAAAAAGTTGCGCATTCGGAGGCTTATACCAACAGCCTTCGAAAATTTTTCAATTTTTTTTTTAGTTTTTCAGTTATATCGAAAAAAGTGAATTTTTGGAATCTCTATTTTATTTTTTTTTTCTCCGTTATTATTAGAGATACAGGAAAACTGAAATACTTTTTCATAGCAACTATTGATGACGTTTAACGTGGTGATACCATTTTTCTATGCGACGTTTCGTATTCGTAGAACCATCATCAACTTTTGTTTTTTAAATACGGCCCTGATAATCCTTTTCACAGATTCTGAAAGCTTTTTTTATTTTGAATTGAATCATGTAATATACAAGGTGATTTGAATGTGTTTCGATTCATTTTTAGTCATCATCAATGTTTTTTCCGAAATTCCAAAGGAAAAATGCCATCAGTTCCCATATTAGGTACATTATTACTATATAATTATGTAATACTGTATTCTAATGAATTTATTAATGTATTCTTGATCTAGATGTCATTTAGTATAGATCTAATTCAAACCAAATATCATATTTTCACACATTTTTGTAAACCTTCATAATACTTTTCGTTCCCGATACTCTATAATATTTTTAGTTCCTGATTTTCTTCACTCATTTATGGTGTTGAACATGTATTCTTTGTTATTTTTTGAACAAAGAATTCATTCATTCATTCATATACCCCTTTCAGCTATGTAGGTTTGAACATTACTCAAATGCAGTTCAAAGTAGGTGAATATACCGGTTTTTCCACCAGTAGTTTTAAAACCTACCATTATTCAATCCGCGAGTACGCAACAATGGCACTTGGATCTAGTAGGTATTTATCAATACCGTCATTTGCTGTCATGGTCGTGGCTACTAGATTTCAATTAGAATTGAAAATAGAGTCATATTTCAGTTTCATAGAACTAAAGTTGATTGAAGAAAATTATTACCACGGGACCTTATATACCCTGAAGCTGAAGCTTCGGTAATACTGGTATTTTTACTACCTTATTGGTATATAAATAACTATTTACCGATCCCTATATGGTATTCTGAAGGAAATGAGAATTTGTTACTCAAGGACAGGAAGAAGTTTAGAATTATTTTGATTTTTTCCAAATGTGATCCGAACTGTGCCTTCAGTAGTATATCATTTCGGTTCCTATTGACTGAAGGAGATCCAATTTTTCAATATGTCAAAATCCAGAGTTCTGAATAGGAGAAAGTAGAAAGTGATCATATACGAAAATTTTTGCTGTCTTTCAATTGTCTATCGACTGGCAAGAGAGGGGGCATGTAATTGGAAAACTGATAATAATCAATTATTATACCATCCACATTTTCATTCATCTCAGAGTTCCCTTTTGGCTGTTGAAGATTCAGTGTCCTTTATAGGGAATCCGGATGAATATTTCCCGGAGTCATAATACCTATATGGGCTATGGGCTATGCGTGGGCGTGGGTGGTAAATTATTGTTACAATTTTGGTGGAGTCCTTTCAACAGAGGCGTACCATTCCAAAAATACAGGACCTTGAATAACGTCTTCAAATTAAGGTTTCTTCACAATAAGGCGAACAAAGCAAGGGATAAATCTGCAAAATTTCGTGGTATGTATAGATTAATATGATCATGATTCACACGTCTGAAGTATTTTGGATGATGCAGCGTTGCCGTTTCTAATAGAAAGTAGCATTAACTTCAATTTTTCAAATGGAACGTCCTGTATTCAGTGTGTCCAAAAATTCGATCTTCACCATATTACGAAAGTTTCAGAAAATGTAATCTTGATTCAGAATCCGATTCGAAATCTAGACTAGCTTCAGTCATTTTTCAGTTATTCGAGACTAACTGAAATGTTGTGTTATTCTCCTTCATAATATCTGGAAAATCATTGATTGTATGATAAAACGACTTCAACATTCTAGTAGTACTTCTTAGTGATCCTTTGAATGGTTTCGTCAGTTTGTGTCAAAAATATCAAATTTATGAGATATGACCAACTTATTTTTTAATTTTTTTCAATCGACAAAACTATTCGAAAGATCACTGAAAAGTACCATCATAATGTTCAATCAATAGATCTCAAGATACTCGAGAAAAACAAAAATACAAAATTTCAGTTTTTCTTGAATTACTCAAAAATTACTGGAGTCAGACATGATTTCCCGACGGATTCTGAATCACGATTGAATTTGCTGAAACTTTCCTAATTCAACCGACTCTTTATCTCTAGTGGTGCTCGCGAGAGGCTCGTTTTCGAGATCTAGTGGCAAACTTTTCAAATTTCGAAATGCTATTTCTTCTCATTAGAAATTGGAGCCCCTGTATATTTTCATATCATTCGATGCGTGAATGAAAAACAAACTTTTTTTCTTATCACAACCCCATCGCAATTCTCATCGTATAAAAAGTTACTTGACGAAAATCGTTTCATCAACTATTCTAACAGTCATTTGAAAGAATGAACAACTTTTGCATTCGTGATCATATTTTTCTGAAATTTCGTACACTTATATGAGCAATCATTTCAGATCACATTACAATCCAATATTGCGGTCTTCCCTATTTTCTGGAAATGTCAGCAATTCAGAACACCCTGTATATTTGCACATATTCAAGTTCAACAGGTCAAAATAAGTGCGAATCACGATATGGAAAGTGTTTTGAAAAGTGTTTTGAAAAGTGTTTTTAACCGCCAGCTTAGTTGCAAAGCAACCCTCGAAAGTCAGAGACTTGGATATCACCCAATTTTTTCCACGCCGTATATTTCATTATCGGTAAAAGCAAATAAATGATAAAAAAATAATCATTAATCAGTTTATATTTCTTCATTCTTCTTCTCCTTATCAGTATACTGGTGTCGTTCACAAGACCAAAAGTAAATAAAACAACATGACACCTTTTTATTTATATAACAGTAATTGAATGTCTTGTGAAGACTATATACCCGCATTCTTCCACCTTATACATTCTCAATTCTCGCAGAGATACACATTGTTAGAATAACTCTTCAATTCTCATCAATATTTTGTTATAATAATAGGAATCTGCTTGACGTTCAGTTAAAAAATTAAGTATCTACACTTTATCACTGTTTATCTCTATGTACAAGCGAATCTAATGCTAAGTTTGTCCAGACTGTAGTTTATAAAACTTGTAGTACATTCCTCTCTTGTTCAAAAGTTCCGTGTGAGTACCCATTTCTGCTATGAACCCTTCTTTCAGCACGCAAATCACATCAGCGTCTTGGATAGTCGTCAGTCTGTGGGCAATCGTTATACAGGTTCTACCTTGTCTAGCATTGTCTAAAGCTTCTTGGACAATCTGGAAAAAGGAAAGATCTATAGTGTCGAGAAATTATCTAGAGATATCTAGGAAACCAACAATACAAATCTATTAACGAATATGACTTTATCAACGTTATCCCATTCTAGTTCTGTCAGACTCATCACTAGTGATGAATCCATGTTGATCTAGGCTTTCAAGATCATAAGCGTAATATATCAATCAACGATCTAGGTATAATATTCCTGTTCTCGCGAATAAGTCAATGTGAAAACAAAGAAGTTCCTATTTAGATCATTAAGTAATGAAGTATGCTGAATACACTATGAATTGAAAAAATACAGTAAAGAGAGAAAGAGAGAAAGAGAAACAGAAAACAACATAAGAGTACGATTGATTGAGACGTAAGAAGACGCCTGACTAATATAATTTTTTTTCTGTGACGGGAAAAAAGTTTGGCATTTCATCTCTGTTGGCAGGTTATAAAATGTCAGTTTTCATAAATTACTTTTTTCCCGTGGGAAAAAAGTGAGTACTTTTTTCTCGGATATATATCACATATTTATACTCTGTTAATGGCTTTTGTTGTGCTGTAGTGTCGAAAAATGAGTCAATAATACCGTCTCCGAGAAAGAACTGCAAGTCCTTTTATCTTCCATTCGACTTCGCGGTTTCGTATATTACTAAACAACTACTGAATTCGCAATTTTTTAAAATCAAATCACAGAATTGAACTGACAGAAGTGACATCAGATATTTGATTACTTCAAAAGAATGATAAAGATGTCTATAAAACGCAGATGTCCCTACTGTTAAAAACTTGAAATTTCACGTCGATAATTTTCAGATTTCGAAATAATGTAATATCTTCTCAATATTGATTCGTCCTTCCTTCTGTCACAGAAAAAAATAGTGTATTATACACGGGAAAAATATTAGATTTTAGCTCACGGTTTTTTGTCTCCCTCCGCTACGCGTCGGGAGACAACACAACCTGGAGCTAAAATCTACTACTTTTTTCCCTTGTATAATAAATAACTATTGAAAAAATAGTTATTTATTATACAAGGGAAAAAAGTAGTAGATTTTAGCTCCAGGTTGTGTTGTCTCCCGACGCGTAGCGGAGGGAGACAAAAAACCGTGAGCTAAAATCTGATATTTTTCCCGTGTATAATACACTATTTTTTTCTGTGACAGAAGGAAGGACGAATCAATATTGAGAAGATATTACATTATTTCGAAATCTGAAAATTATCGACGTGAAATTTCAAGTTTTTAACAGTAGGGACACCTGCGTTTTATAGACATCTTTATCATTCTTTTGAAGTAATCAAATATCTGATGTCACTTCTGTCAGTTCAATTCTCTGATTTGATTTTAAAAAATCGCGAATTCAGTAGTTGTTTAGTAATATACGAAACCGCGAAGTCGAATGGAAGATAAAAGGACTTGCAGTTCTTTCTCGGAGACGGTATTATTGACTCATTTTTCGGAACTATAGTACAACAAAAGCCATTAACAGAGTACCTATATATGTGATATATATCCGGGAAAGAAGTACTCACTTTTTTCCCACGGGAAAAAAGTAATTTATGAAAAGTGACATTTTATACCCTGCCAACAGAGATGAAATGCCAAACTTTTTTCCCGTCACAGAAAAAATGTTGTTTGTTTTATAACTCACCTTTTCACTTTCGTTATCCAGAGCTGAAGTAGCCTCGTCTAGTAGAAGAATTTTTGGATTTCTCATCAGAGCTCTTGCTATCGCTATTCTTTGCTTCTGACCACCAGACAGCTGGGTACCGTTGCTTCCAATTCTGGTTTCATAACCCTAAAAGCCCTCTTCATGTGTTAAACTGAATACCACACTCGTATTTTCCTTGGAATTTTCGTGTAATATTTTATACTCATGACCTGTGTCTGTTTCAATTCGTGTATGTACTCGAATCTTGAATGTTTTTAACCGTTTAAAGTCTGACCCATTTCAACGTTCTTATTTGCGAAAATATAATATAAGAACGCTAATAGAATATGATGAGGATGTTGTGAATGTTCATAGAATGTTTTACGAGAATGTTCATGGAACATGTCATCTTAATATCCTAGGAACGTTTCTAGAATATTCCATTATATTCTAAGAATGTTATTCAGATATGATCATATAATGTTCTGTTCGAATATTCAAGGCATGTTCGCCAGGTATGTTAACAGCATTTATTATTAAAATACTCTGGGAAAGAAAATAATTCTTGTTTATTTTTTATCGAATGTGTCAAAAAAGTCGCTGTTTTCCCAACTAATACTGCAATTCGTCCGCTGAAAACCCCGGAGGTTCGTTATGAAAAAGGGTCTCGTCCTGTGGACTATTATAGATTTCAATTCCTGGTAAATAGAATAACTTTGTTTTTTCTGTGACGGGAAAAAAGTTTGGCATTTCATCTCTGTTGGCAGGTTATAAAATGTCACTTTTCATAAATTACTTTTTTCCCGTGGGCAAAAAGTGAGTACTTTTTTCCCGGATATATATCACATATATATACACTATTGATGGCTTTTGTTGTGCTATAGTTCCGAAAAATGAGTCAATAATACCGTCTCCGAGAAAGAACTGCAAGTCCTTATCTTCTATTCGACTTCGCGGTTACGTATATTACTAAACAACCACCAAATTCGCAATTTTCTGAAATCAAATCACAGAATTAGACTGACAGAAGTGACATCAAATATTTGATTACTTCAAAATACTGATAAAGATGCCTATAGAACGCAGGTGTCCCTACTGTTAAAAACTTAAAATTTCACGTCGATAATTTTCAGATTTCAAAATAATGTAACATTTTCTCAATATTGATTCGTCCTTTCTTCTGTCACAGAAAAAAATAGTGTATTATACACGGGAAAAATGTTAGATTTTAGCTCCAGGTTGTGTTGTCTCCCGACGCGTAGCGGTGGGAGACAATAAACCGTGTACAACTTTTTTCCCTTGTATAATAAATAACTATTTTTGCAGAAAATAATGGAGGATCATTTTCAAGGCACAAATTACAAACCAACTGAAACATCCATCGCTTCTTCTTGAAGTTATTCCAAAACAAACAAAAAACTTGAGTGACTGAATAAAATTGATCTTGTTTTCTTTGAATTGACTCAGCCGTTACTTGATAGAAATCCATAGTGAATGTAAAAACTTCACAAACGATAAGATTCCCACAAAATTTACACAATATGTTTCTCTAACACAGTAGCTTCTTCAAATGAATTACTGGTACAGAAACTGGTGGAGTGTTTCTGCACTCAATGTACAGTTCCACACTTTCACTTTCAATCTCATTTGATTTGAGGTTATGTTATGATATTAATATTTCTAGTGCAAGCGGTGTGTAAGCACCGTTTTCTGTTTTCTGTCTTGGAAGAAATCTGTAAAAAGTGTCGCCACCTTGCGGACAACTGAAAACTAATATGCTATCAATGCGGAATCTGCGGGCAAGCGTTTGGAGGGAAACAAAACACTGTCTGTGATTACACGACCATATTCTATCCACCTTGCATGATTACACTGTTCTTTTATGACATGTAACATTGATTTATTCTATCTACTGTTACCATTAGTTGAAAGGATTGATACATATTCTATTTATCATATTATTTCATTTATATTTTTGATGTTAATTTCGGAATTCTACACGTAGAAAATAATGGAATAAAACTCAATCATTTTGAATTATTAGAGATCAACAAACGCGAAAATTCAAACATTTTACTTAACGATCAGCTAGACCTGATTGAGAATTTTGTGTAACTCTTATAGTTCGTGATAGTATATTACGTAATATGTGTTGTAAGAGGCGGCTCGGTGGTCGAGAGCGTGAAGGCGCTGAGTTCGTATAGGGACTCCCACCGAGACATAGGTTCGAATCCTAGTTAGGCCATAGATGTTTGTGTTTGTCTGCTCACCTAACACCGCACAAGTTTCGACTTATGGGGCGTTTGGTCCCAGTGCTGGGACCAACGAGGTAATGCAATTGCAAAAAAAATTGAAGAATATTACGCACGAATTGAAAAGTTACGCACGGAGCCGCAGAGCGGCGAGTGCGTAATTGCTTTACAACACGCATAACGTACTATACTTCACCCACTGCCATACAGTACATCAAAAAAGTTTGGACAAACAGTCTGAATTATAATTCTTGACAGTTATGTCATCAGCTGTTGACGGCGATTACGCGATCATGACTGGCGGAATAAACGAAAACTGTGCGATCTCGTGTATTCTTGCCTACTTGCTATAGTGGCTGTTAGCATCTAGCAACTAGATGCGCTACTGCTCAGTGGAATGTGCTTAGATCAGAGCCTATGACAGACGTGTGTGAAGACTGGCTCATACAATGTTCGGCAGGCAGCCGAGTTAAGAGCAAGTGTCCCCCTTGTCCATGTCATTTGTGCTGGTGTTTATTGAATTATGACCATAATATAACAGTGGCCGTAGATAACGTTCCTTACAAAATTGATCTTATCTAGTTTAAGCCTTACCATAGGTAGTGAAGATATAAAGTTATGAATATTCGCCGATTTGGCCGACTCAATCACTTTCTCCATGTTAATGTTCCTGTGATTGGCTCCATACGATATGTTCTCGGCAATGGTCCTATCGAACAGGTTAGGTTCTTGGGACACAATGCCCAATTGGGACCTCATGGTGGCGATATCGGTGCTCTTGGTGTCTTCGCCATCGACGGTAATGTGACCATAGTCCGGATCATAGAACCTTTCCAGCAACTGGATGATGGTCGATTTTCCACAACCGCTGGATCCTACCAGGGCCACGGTTTGTCCTTTGAGAATGCTCAAATTGAGGCTGTTCAGGATTGATATCGAAGGTCTGGTTGGATAGGAGAAATGTATCTGGGAATATTCGACATTTTCGTTCCGCTACAAAAAATTCAGTCATTATACAAGGTGTTTCTGGAATAAATGCACATATTCAGCACATTGATATGATACAGTCTAAGGAATATTCCCATGATATCAGATTTTTTTTAATTCTTCTGATTAACGAGAAATTTCATCCCAAAAATTGTACAAAATACGAGCCAAAAATCAAGTACGCCATTATTCCAATTTTTTTGGGATTTTCTCTCCTCGTTTCTATTGAATAAAAATATGAATATTATTTCAATATACTTGTAGTAAGAACAAATCAGATGATTTGCCCCAAAATGTCACTGCGTTTGAAGAATGTTCCTATTCAGAGAGCCTAAGAAAATGCACTAGCTTGTCAGTGACAATTTGTATAGAAAACAGTTCGGAGAAGAGGAATAAAAAATATATATAAAATATAAAAAAAATATCAAATTTTCACTTATCTCTGGACGTTTCGGGACCGAATCTGCTCCCGTTTTCAACAAAAGAAATGGTTATTTTAATAGCAAAGTCGTATCTGTCTTGAAACTTTACAGTTCTCAGTGGCAATTATTGGTGACGTAGCAAGGACGTATTAGATCTGTCAAAGGAGCTCCAAACATTTTGCAGGTAGGTTCTCGAAATATGCTAAGTACGTTATCTCAAGCCTCCACCATAATTTGAAAGGAATATTCTCAATACTTCATCACATCACAAAACTTACCCATAGAGATTTTGATGGGTTCTCAACATTCTTCACTAATGGCGTCCTATCTATCAGAGAAATTATTCTTCGAGCTGCTATGAGTCCTTTTTGGAAATTCGGTGTCATCGACATAGCATTTCCTATTGACCAAGATCCAACTATCATAACCTCACTCACCCTAGAAGATAATAATAGTATTTTGAATATAACACACTTAGATCTTCTAAGAAAGCATCGATTCAGATCAGTATATTTCATTTGTTCATCGTTCGTTCCTTATTTGTATTGATATTTGTTGACATCGTCGTGGAAAAAATAATGTACACAACTCGGTGGAAAATGTATACCTATACTTGCTATGTTACCATACTTATACCGGGTGCCAACGAATCTATTTGACAAGTCATAACTTCTAGACCACTGTGTGTATCAAAATGAGATTTGGTTTAGGTAAATGGTATATGGAGAAGACAGTTTCCACATATATTTCACTTTCCGGTCACGTCTGGTTTCACCGGAAATGGCTCCAGTTCTAAATTTTTAAATGGAACACCCTGTATATTCTAACATTTTTGGATTTCTGAGACAATTCTAGATCAGAAAGTGACATTTTTGAAGGTTTTTATGCCTACTTAATTTTTTCGGAGTCACTTTTGAAATTACATCAAGGTGGCCATGATTTGAAGTAAACTAATCTAAGGACCTCAGGTGATATCAGAAAATTACAATCGCGAAATTTTAGTGACAAGTATGATAGATATGAATATTAGAAAATGTCACATTCTGATCTAGAATTGTCTCAGAAATCAAAAAATGTTACAATATACAGGGTGTACCATTTGAAAATTTAGAACCGGAGCCATTTCCGGTGAAACCGGAAGTGATTCAAATGTGGAAAATATGTGAAAACTCTTCTCTTCACATACCATTCACCAATACCAAATCTCATTTTGATACACATTCAATTTCAGAAATGGTAAGTTGTATTTCAGAATTGGTAGGTTCAATTTCAGAAAATAAATCCTTATATCTGTTTGGAATGTTTCTAATTGCAAAAGAGAAGATTGTTTACAGTTGATGAAACGGTGTTTGAGAGCGTACGTTCGAAATGAGCATCCTGCAGATACCATAGTGGTAGTTCTATATAGATAATGCACCTACACATTCAAGAATAGAAGAGATATGCATGGAGGAAGAATTTCAAGAGGTTATATTTTGCAGATTGGCACCTTACAGCCCTATGTTGAACCCGATTGAAGATATATGAGTGTCTTCAATTCAGAAGTGAAGAGCTTTTTGCAAGAGCATCGCCAAAGGGTTATAGCCGGGGATCCAAACAGATTGCTCAACCAGATAGAATTCAGACTGCGATGTCTTGAAGAATGTGCAGAACATTCAATTCATTCTTTTAATCATGTGCAACGCCACTATCTCTCTACGATTCGGATGGAATACATGTCTGTGGATTGAGCTGAGATTATAATTATATTATTAAATTGTTTTTGAAAAGTTAAATATTGTAAATATAGTTTGTTGATTTCACATGCAATTCAAAACATTTCAAACAAATATAAGGATTTGTATTCTGAAATTGAACCTACCAATTCTGAAATGCAACTAACCATTTCTGAAATTGAATGGACTTTCTCTGAAATTCATGTCACCGATTCTGAAATTGAGTTTACCATTTCTGAAATCGAACTAACCAATTCTGAGCTCGAGATTACTCTTTCCGAAATATAACTCACCGATTCCGAAATTGAAGTTGAAAAGGTATAGATGTTACGACGTGTCTAATAGATCCGTTGACACCCGGTATATACCACTTTTGATATATTTGTATACTTACTTTATGACAGTTCCATATTCCACTTCGCCATCTATGATTAGTTTACTACCATAACCGATACCAGCAGCGTACGCGAATACTATAAGACTTCTTGCCATACCGAGTATTACCCCTCTGAAGTGAGACTTTTTCTTTGCTAAAGCTAGATAGGGAGTCAGCTCTCTAATGTACATTTCGTGGAATATATTCTCACAACCAAGAGATACCACGGTCCTGATGTTTCCGATTGCCTCTACCGCCATCTGAAATCGGAATAATCTATTGTTTAACGAGCACCAAATGAAGAATGTTTATCATTCGATTGGGAAATTATCATTCCGTGCGAGTTATACACTATACTCTTTCTAGGAGTATATTCTATGAGTATACTCTACAAACCACTATTCACTCCAATCTCCACAATCTCTCCTGCTGGTTATCAAATCAATCTCTATTCCTCAATCCAGGCAGAACCTCATGCATGCGATTTCAAATACGTCAAAATGATAGTAAACATTAGCTAGATATTCAAGTCAATGATATGGTTACACATTGTGATAATCTCATGAAAAATTTCAATACGAAATGCTACCAGATTAGGGTTTTGAGAACTGTTTTGAAAAAAGAAGCACTATTATTATTTAACCATGGTCAAATTCAGTCTCTATTGATATACGGCATTTTGATTTGGGGTAGCTCATCTTCTATAAAATATGTTTTCATAACTCAGAAAAGAATAGTCAGATGCATTGCCAGTACTTCTATGAAAACTTCCTGTCGAGGTTAATTCAGAGAATATAATATTCTGTCAATTTATGGTTTACCCATTCTGGAATTACTAGTGTATATGTATACATAAAAATGTTGATCGATTTGCAAAAAATGAAACCGTACATAATTATGGAATTAGGATGAAGGAACATCTCCACAGGCCCAAAAATCGTTTGTCATTTTGTCAAAAATCTTACTAAACCATCGGTCTTAGGCTATCAAATATATTACCTGAAGAGTACAAATTGGTGAGGAAATTGAAACAATTCAAAATGAAGATTAAATCTGTAATATTGACGATAGTCCCATATAGTATTGAAGAGTCCATTGATCATTTCAGATGAGGCTTGTTTAATGTCAATGTAGGTCTATTATGTTTGTTTTGTTTCATACCATTGTATATATTTTCATCTGCAATACCTGTATGAATTGTTTCATGACTTTTCCCATAACTTGTATGATTTCTTTGGAAGTAGACCAATAAATTTATCTATCTATCTATTTATCTATCTACGACTGTAACAGATAACAGCGACAGATAAAACCTGTCTTCGGCTTGTAGCCATCTGATCCTCTATTAGACATTAGACAGTTGAAATTTTACAATTCACGGGAGGTGAAATTTTGTGAAATAATAACACAATGAAGTCATTGTGATATCAGATACGCAAATAAAATTTATGGCATACAAAGTACCTCATTGATTGATCGATTACAGCGAGAAATATTATTTTCTCCACAACAATACGATTGTACCCTTGGAGTCATGGTTTCTAACTCTAGGAAAAGAGATGAGGGACATTAGTCCCGTGGTTTATAAACTATTTAATGCACTACAGGAGTGAAGAAGACTGAAAAAAAAATCGAGAAAATAAAGATATACCGAGATATACAATATTTTCATTGAACATATTTTCATCAATTCAACAGAAAACTACTACTTTCCTGGCTATATGCCACGACGAACATTGAATTATATCTATTGAACACACACGATAAGAATAAACCGAGAAAACATTGATATTTTCATCACATAGAGAATGCGAATACTCAATGTTTTTCTTTCTAGTGAAAGGGTAGTCTTCTGACTGGACTAGTTGAAGAAAACTATGTTTAGGAAAACAGCTAAAATCGATATTTCCCTCGAGGTTGCAGTCGAAGGGAATGGCCAATGTAGAGAAAAGACTCTTTGTTAAATTGTCGAGCTTTCAAAAAATTTTATTTTCATTATCAAGACATCTGAAAATACAAAGACCCATTATAAGTATGGTATCTTGTGTAAAAATTGAAAAAACTTAGTAACTTGAGCGGTTACATGGAAAACAGCTGATACACATCATAGTTGAACTTTAAAACACTGCACGATTTGTGAAAACATATCAAAAAAATATTAAAAATAATTACATTACAAGTCTTATTAGAACCTTACTGGTCCTGTGAAACTTTGTCAAGAAAATGAGCACATGGTGTTCGACCTTCAACAGTTCCAAACGGAAATAGATGTGACGTTGAAAATTCAAAAAAGTGTGGGAGGAGCTATGTCAATGCCGAACGACGTGAGTTCATTGTCAGAAGTCAATGTCATTCATGAAAACAGGCGGTTAATTTAAATTTGCAATCAATCATTAGGTTTGGTTTGGAAAGTAAGTAGATAATTCTAAATTGTACTGAGGTTTGCAATATCTGATCGTTTATTCATACAAGGGGTTCAAACTCGAACATTTTTTATATGTATAGACCTTCAATCGCAGATTCGTGGTTATGTTTTCTCAACTCAGAATTTCTTTTTACGTCCTGTATGATGGATATCAATTTGTCATGAATCCAAAAATTAGAGTTATTTTTGATAGTTGACAGATGTGGTTGAAAAAAATACCTAACATTTGAAAAAATAATAAAATATTATCGATATCATCACCGCCGGAGAAATGCGAATTTAGGAGTGTTTGTTGTGAAAACTCACCTTCGAAGAATTTTCTATCATCTTCTGATTTTTTCTCGCATCATTTTGCAAAAACTTTTGTTCGAAATAAATCGAGAAAAAAATCAAGGGACAAAAAGACAGTAGCACCAGCGTCAGTTTCCATTCATAGTAAAACGAAAACGCACAAGTCAAAATGAATGTGCACAAAAAGTTCAGCACCGTTCCAATTTGAATTCCTGCGACCTGAAAAAAATTAGCTGCTAAGTATATATCGAAATTTTTTTACGTAAATTTTATGTTTCACAATTTTCATTCTACTAGTTTTTCACTCAGAGTGAATCACAGTCGTCTAACCAATGAGTATCTATAACACCAATTTCACAAAAGTTGGTAAACATTTACATTTTCCTACGAGCGTGCGGGAAAGTAAATTTTCCTCATGATTTTTCGTTTTTAAAGTTGTACTTTTTCGTACGAATCTACTTTTCCGCATCATTTTTACTTTTGCATGGTAGCGACATTTTTGTGTTATTTCAACCGACATTTGTGATTGTGCTTCTAACAGACTCATGTTTTCACGTTTTTTGGAGATGAAAATCAAAGAAGTCAATATGTTGATTGTTGATGAACAAAAGAATTCTTTGAACTAATTCTATTACCCCTTGTACACCAGCAGCGTCTCCAGCGAGTTGAGCACACAAGGCACCAACGCCATTTTCTTTTCTATCGAACCAGCCCATCTCTTGTTTCATCATTGCGATGAAAGTTCTGTGTCTTATTCTGAGTGTCAGTTTTTCCCCAGCGATACCGAATGAAAACATCTGAAACATCATTAGTTGAATGGTCATTTGTTCGGGGATCGCATCATTTGTTTCTCACCTGGAAAAACATGGCTATTCCAGTTACAATACCAATTATCAAAAAATATAAGCAGAATACGTTGCTTTGTGCTCTGACTGCTGCATCATCAGTAAGAGCTAAGACCTGAAAGAACATTGATCAAAAATTGTATGGTCAAGAGTGTTAAATTTTCATCATCGTTCAATATGTCGCCCTACCTAATGGTAACAACTTGAACACTTCGGAGCGGTTTGTTTTGATGACATGTCCAATAAACATTGACATTCTAATTGAAAAATTGAAGTATTATGGGAAATCGGGGATTGTATTGAATTCGAATCAAAGTTAGGCACCAATATACCAATAACAGAAGGCCATAAACTAAATTTGAAAAAAATTGTCAGATCAACTCATATTATAGAGAGTGTCATACCCCAGGGCAGTGTGTTAGGTACATTGCTATTCATTATTTATCTGAATGATATCAACCATATTTCTGGATCACACTGTATAAATCTTTTTGCTGATGACTACAATCGCAAAAGCTTTATAATTGGGGTATGAGGTTAATATTGAGAGCCATAACACAGAAAATAAATTGATGTTAGAGTTGTTATCAGTTGAAGAACGTATATCATTTATGACTATGATTTTCATATTTGAGCTGCAAAAAGAATTGCTACCCAGTTACTTTCATAACTTCTTAGTGATAATAATTGAAGTTCATGATTACAATGCGAAGAGGAATCACAATTTTTACATTAGTCGTTGTGATTCTTTCTTCCTTTATTTTTTGGTATTTGATGTGATCCAGTTTATCAATCTAGTGATATGTATACCTAGAAACTCCCATATATTCGTTATATTTTGTAAGATATTTATACATTTGTAATTTTTTATGTATATTAGGCTTGCCTATACTTAATGAATGATGAAATTCAGAAAAAAATTGCCGGCGTATTATTTCTTTACTTGCAGACTGTTTGCCTCGGAACACTTAATTTACGTGCGGTGTTACCGTCTCAGTGATTCTGTCTCTAAATCTAGTGTTTTCAGAGTAGGTCAATGCGATATCTAAACTGCTGATCAATCGAACCGCATCAAGCACATTTTTGCTCTAAATTCAACATTGAATATTTTCGCGAAAATTCCACTTATTCGGATGCGGTTTTCTTTATTCTGAAGATTGATCCATTGGTTATATGACATATAGCCCATTGATGGAAATACATGGTAACCTCTGGCTATACAGGGTGACAAACAAACCTCTGCAAAATATTGAAAAATTTTCCATACTCCCAATTTGATGGAAAATTTTTTGAGAAATTTTTCAAGCATATTTTCATAATTCTCAAGCATATTCCTTGAAATGGTTTCGCAATTTTTCTCTTTTCTTTCCAGATTTCCGAGAAAAAGATTTTTTTTCGAAAAATGTGAAAATTGGTACTACAGACCAGAAATATTCTTATTTATAGCTCGAATGATATCACAGATTGTCTTTTGGATGAGCTATTGTGACCTCAATTTTATAAAATCTCATATTGTATTTATACAGAGTGTTTGGCAACAACATTTGAAAGATATTATTACAGGAAGACCGAGCACAACACATTGATCAACTTGTATAGTGTTTGAGATTGAATGTTAGCAACTTTCCTTGAAGTTGCAGCAAAAAAAACGGGAAAAAGAATATACAGGGTGATATAACAAGATTGATGAAAGTTTTATACAATGAAACTTTGAGATTTCGAAAATGTATGTGATGTATCAATGAAATCTTACTCATCTCTCTTATTCATCATTGAAATGTTGCTCAGTGTAGAATATACGAGGTGATTCACAATAACCTGCTCATTCCTCTGAATAGAAATTTTGAAGAAGTTGACTTTGTTTACTCGAAAAGTGAAACAAGGCAAGAACTGAGATGAATTAATTGAAAACGATGAAACAATAGGTAGGCCTATCAAGTACTGAACAATGTTTTTTTTTTCATTTCAGTGCTTATTGTTCCGAATAAGTGGAATGTTCGCAAAAATATTCAATGTTGAATTTACAGCAAAAATGTGCTTGATGCGGTTCTATTGATCAGCAGTTTATTTGTCAGAATTCCATTTCTTTTTGGGCGTCGTAATCTATACTTACCCCTACTATTCCACCAAAAACAAGACCGTATACCGGTAGAGAAGCTCCTGTCAATCCAGAACATATGCAACCAATGAGGATGTAAAACCATTCTGGTTTATTCATTCTCATCACTTTCAGCATCACTCCTTTCGATTCTATTGTCTCATCCTAAAAACAAGAATTCGATAAATAAATACAAAAACCTCAAAGTCATTTCCACACAATGTTCATAAAATAAACAACAATGGTAGATTTTGGGAGAAAAACAACTACTTTCCTGAGAGTCAAAGAGCTCGAAACCAGCCTGTAGGTGTCTAGCGTGGCCTGGCTAAATCGAAATCAATATAGGCATTCAGGAAATAATCACTTGTATCAGTATTCGTTTACACGAGTCGATGCATACATTTCGGGAGGATATAATTCAATGTTCTGCGTGGCATTAGATAGGAAAGTAGTTGTTTTTCTCCCGCAGTTGTAACTACTGAATCGTTCCATATGCAATTTTGAAATTTCGAGGGTTCATATAACATTATATACGCGTATTCTTCTAGGATTCCCATTTCCTCCCAGGAAACTGAGAACTTACGACGAAGGCAGGCTTACGAAAATTACAGCCTGGAAAACCAAAAACCCAGTTGAATTCAACGCCACCAAAACTCAAGCTTGTATTTTCTCTAGAATGACGGAACTCAGTATGCCTGATATAACAATGTCTGATACCCCCATTCCCACCAAGACCAGTATATGTATGCTTGGTATTACCATCAGCACAACTCTCTCATGGAAAAATCATGTCTGATCCATCGCAAAAGCTCCTTCACAAAAACTCTGAATCTTGTTCCGTGCGAAAATCTGTTTTACACCTCAACAGCTTCTGATGATATACAATGCACATATATGGCCAGTTTCAGAATACTGTTCTCATGTATGGGGTTCAGCACCCAAACATATGCTGATATTCTTAGATTCCATCCTGAAAAGAGCCATTTGCCTGATGGTGGGTGATGCCACACTCACTAAGCAAAATAAGCGGAAAAAATGTATCCTTCGTCGACAAGAAATTGACTTTTTCATCAAATTTTCTATTGAGTCATTGAAGGTTGATTCCGTTCCTTATAAAAAAATACAGTATCATGTTGAGAAAATGATTCATTATACAAATTACTATCTTATAGAAAACGACAAACTATAGAAACAAATTTTGCGCGAATGTCATTGTATTCAGAAAAATATTGAAATAGATACAATTTGGAAAAAAAAGTTGACAATCGCTATAGTTAGAGTTGAAATTGGAAAAAGGCATCTGATGAATCAATTCATTTACTCTTTTGTTCTCCAAAATCGGATAGTTTGCGGCGCTCTGATGGCTTGGGGCGTTTGTCAGTCAGTCTGAATGTTCTTAATTTTTTGATCTGATGCGTATTTTTTTTATATATTCCACCGTTTCTCTTCTGACACCATGTATATTTCGATTTGTTGGTTTGTCAAGCGCATATGGGATTTGGCATTATTTAAAACACAAAGAAGAAACTGATTGGTTCAAACCCAAGAAAGATCAATTATCATTTTCGTTGGAAAATTGAAAAATCGTTGAAACTGGTATCTTCCGATTCATTGAATCATTCCAGGCAACAGTTCCACCACCTGGTATTTCCCAGAGGATCGGAATTTCACTCGACAATGAGTTGTTTTTCTTCGTATTTATTTCCGGATATAGGAGTGCCAACATTTTCTGCCAAGAAATTAGAGATGAATCGATAAAGTTGTGGTAACTTGTTATACCATATAGAATTATGTGGTAAAAGATGAAAATCATATGGATGAATCAATGTTTTTTCATGTCACTCACAGGTGTGTTATCTTCAATTTTTTGTTCTTCTGTTTCGTTTTCTATTTGATGGGATTTATTGGACCAGCTGAAAGCTCGACTCAGTCTTTTATCTCCTGAAAATCAAAGAAAAAATTGAGTTCTTGGTTATCATTATAAATTCTATCGCATAGTCTAGACTCTAGAGTCTACATCAAAGAATCTCATAATCCTACATGCAGAACTTTGCATGTCAAGTGTGAAAATATAAATTGAGTCACAAGGGCAGAAAATTGGCTTCAGCAGCCCGCGGATATTAGCTGCACGAGCGGTTTCTACATGTGTGACACACAACTGTTTTTCTCCTACCTACACACAAAAAAAACTGAAAATACAACAAAAAACTTCAATTTCATAATTGTTGTCTTGAATCCAGACTTCGATTTACACTGACGTGAGAATCGTCTGAATACGCATCACGCAAGTGACAGTCAAAGGTGTCTAGATAGTGAAAAACTACGTCCAAGAGCCAGTCCAAGGAACGATTTACATTACTTTCGATCACATTTTTAGGGTTGATATGATTCATTTCCATACAGCGTGTCTCACTTTTAACGCCTCCCCCCCTCTGTATCTCAGCTTTTAGTCGTGAGATTCTTACCAAATTCAGACCGGTATGAAAAATCATCAACATGATCAGTTCTTCAGAGACCAACTTTTTTTTGACAGTGCTGTGCGTTTTCATTGAAATTAATAAATGGTTGATTATTTGGGATTTTCTCTGCTCGTTTCTAAAATATAAAAATATGAGTCTCATTTCAATATACAGTATGATGCAAATGTATGGAATAAATTAATTTCAAAACAAGACGACTTCCGAAAAAATCCAAAAACTAGACTTCAGAACTTTATTAATTGATTTATTTTTTTAAATAGACGACCCTTCGTTGTTCAATTCTCAGTAGCAGACCTCTGCAAGATTCAGTTAATCAAATGATAAGCCATTTCAATTTCAATTTTCTTATGCAAAATGTTGACTGTTGAATAGACGATCAGTAGACTTTTCAAACGAGGTGTCACATGACCCCTGTTGTCATTTGAAAAAATCGTTCATTACGTCATTACTCCAACACCGGTGACGTAACATCTCACATATGGATATCATGGAATGAGGCTTCAAAAATGAAACCTCACATGTTTTTGGAATTTTTTAAAATGTCGCCCATTTCTGAAATAATGAATTTATTCCATACATTTGCATCATACTGTATATACGTTTAGTATTGGACGAATCAGATCAGATCCGTTTATTTTTTCCATCAGGGAGCCTGAAAGAAAAATCAAATCGTTGGACAGTGATACTCTGGTTTGAAAAATGTTTGATCAACTTACAGACAGTATTAAAAAAGGAGTTGATTTTTAATGATATTATTGTAGGAATTTTTCGCAAAACAATAACTTCGCATCATTGATTCTCATGCTCTTTTGAAGCTCCAAATATTCAAAGTCACCTCATTCCGAATTACCAGGATTATCTTAATTTTTTATTCCTTGAACTCACCAATTTCCAAGTAAATAATTTTTCACGTTCGCAAAAATGCTATTAGAATGTGCCTGTTTTCTGTTTTGTTGGAACCCTTCATAGTAATTATATGGAAATGTACATAATATGAGGTCATTTTCCCTGTTAAATAATCCTAATATGATTTCTTTAAAAAATTACTCTTTTTTATTTTGATGAATTCGGAAAGAATTGCACAATAAATAGCTGAGGTATGGAGGGGAGGCCGTTAATAGAGAGACACGTTATATATGGCTGGCGGCGAAAAAAAGAAACACCACGATTTCATGAGTGAAGACAACACAAACCTGTAGTTTCATTTGTTTCAGTTAAACCCTGCGACTTCACCAAATTATAGTATCCTCCTTCTTTCGCCATCAGTTCGGAATGGGTTCCGATTTCTTGAACTTTTCCAGCTGAAATCACCACAATTCTGTGTGCATTTCGGATCGTTGAAAGGCGATGAGCTACTATTATCGTTGTACATTCTCCACTGACCTAAAAAAATCATCTAGAGAATCTTAACATCACTATATACAGAGAAGTGCACAAAAAAACGGCCAGGACTGTGACTTTTGAATTATTCGAGATAGAATTTTGAGAATTGGTGGGCAGCTAGTATACCAATTTTTGTTCTATCACTTTCGGTTTTACTGAAAACGAGCCCAACTTTTTTAATGGGACACCCTGTATTGTATTCCATAATCGTTTATATAGGGATTGTTTTAACGATTTCATCAATACCGGGTTTGAAAGAGTTATTTCGAATGATTACGCAGATATTCGCGTTCTAAGTTTCCATATGCTCAATGAGTGTGACAGAGAAAGAAGTTTTGATATTGTGAAGTCACACCCATTGAGCATATGGAAACTTCGAACGCAAATATCTTTGTAATCGTTTGAAATAACCCTATCGAACCCGGTATCGTTGAATTCGTCATGATAATCCCTAACCGACTATGGAATACAATACAGGGTGTCCTATTGAAAAATCAAAAGTTGGGGTCGTTTCCGGTGAAACATTGTTTCATCAATTAATGAGTATGGTATGCTTGCTAGCCACCAATTTTCAAAACCCTAACTCGAATGGGCGTGTACACCCTAGTAGAACTTTCAACTCAAACCATGTTTATAACGATCCTTTTATACATAAATAATGATTGACGACATAATTCGATCGAAAAATTAACTGGAATGTTTTATTTTTGGACATAAATAATAGTACCTTCTGAAAACGGACCCTCTTATGACGTAGAAACCTCATCTCGCCATACTCAAAAGAAAATACCAAACGCCTGACGGAGACTGAGGCAACTGATATATTAATTCTTTCAACTGTGATCTCGCGCTAATTCACTATGTCAGAAATCATGTATCATTCATCTCTGTCTGGAATAGTCTTGTTTCAGTATTAGGGTTTTGACGTCACATAATCGCCTCGTTTTCAGAGGTCCGAAAAATCGGGGATTTCAATAACATTTTATAAAACGTAGGGAGCTCACAGCAAGAAACGGTTTGCAGTGGTGAGCTAGTTTAGGTGAGTTCTATCGAATTATGAAATTAAATTTTTTTGTGATATAAGCCCATTTTGGGCACTTTTCTGTATGTACAGTGTCGGGTCAAAAATAAATTAACCAGTCGATTTTTCTCGAAGTGCATGTATTCCAAACTATGACTTCATAGTTAACCAACCACACAAACCAGCTCATTGAGATAGTTCACGGGGTAGTTAAGGCTTTTGATATGGCACTGGATTGGGCTCTTGTTATTGTTATAATCTGAGGTTATATAATTGATAAAAAGAAATAATTATACTTCTTCGAATCGATAATAATTATGAATTCATACGAAGTATTTTTCAATGAGAGATCTCATCATATAATTGATGAAAATAAATATTCGATTCATTGTAAATATATGTACGTAGCGAATTGTTCAAATTTTCTTGAATTTGAAGTAGGTAAGTACCTATAGTTCCTATCTATGATATATTTTTCTTACAGATGATGAATTTCTTATTCAATATAAATACTCAAACCAAACAATAAACAGAAACAGATGATACAATAACATCAGTCAAGCTTCACAAGTAAACCGTCACGACGTAATAAAGTTATCCTAACGTTAAAGTTAACGTGGTTGGTCTGGTGATAGGTTTGAGGAAAAATGACTTATTTCACAGGTATGATAGTCAAGTAGAGAGTTATCGAAAATTAATCAGACTTTTCTTTTTCACTTATAATTACACGAGGGCTATATTTTGAACTTGACATTTCAATGTAATTGTAAGGGGGAAGTAGTAGTGGTAAACTCTAACATTTTGAAATAAGTGAACACAGTTCAACTGTAGGGCAATGCACTTCCACCTCAGGTTGAGTTAATTATAATTATTGGGAAATAAAGTAAAATCTATCGCCAACCGTCTTTGAGTAGTCAACATCACACTCACCACCACCTGAATCAATACCACAAGAATATGTTTGCATAACAAATCAAATAAAAAAATTGCTATGACAATATTTTGAATCCGCAGAACGAGTAATATTATCTGACAGTTTTTAAGTTAAATTGTTTAGAGGTAATCAAACTCGAATTATAAATGTTAGGTTGACTTTAATAGGAGCTTGGGTGAAATTTTGTGAGACAATTCAATGAATACGTTTATCACATTATATTGTCGATAGTTTTTCCCCAAGACTCAACAAATCCAGGAACGGGCCCATGGGGAAGTGGCGAGTTAGCAAATGAGATTCAGTAAAGTGCCAGAAAAAAACGTTTCATAGTAAATATTTATTTTTTCTGCCTTCAAACTTAGGATTATCTACTTATTCAAACTACAAATTTACAAGTCCAATAACATAAAATTTCGATGCTGTAGTCAGACTTTCCAAGTATGAACATGATGGAAAATTATATTGTCAGTTCAAACTAGAAACTTTCAACTGCAAATTCGCGTAGTTTCCATAGATAAGATACTTCTGTGACCACGCAAGTTTCAGAAAACTCCACATAAACGATATCAAAGATTCATTCACAATTTTGGTAGTCATGTTTTCAAATGTTATGTTCTGATTTGTTGCTGAGAAAGTTTGGGCAAACTTCTTTCGCTGTCCATGTGGATAAAATCACAGCGGTTTATAGGATTTTTTATACATGAATGAAATTGTCAATCAAAAAATAGTATATTTTCATACAAGTTTTATAAGACACTATTGTGTCGCAAGCGTTGTTTGGAGATCCACGATGAATACATCGAATATCAGAAAAATATGAAGTAGGTAGTTGGTAACAATGAAAAAACATTCAGCAAAACAATTCAGCGTGTTTCGATACGCATTTGGGTGTCATAGTGACTTCATTGAAGGCGCAAAATAGAAGAATATATGGATTTGTAATGAAAAAATTCCTATTTTGTATGGTTCTCCCGAATATTAATAGGAAATGAAAGTTCGCCTTGAATGACCCTGTATATAGTGCAGTAGTATTTGGATGACAGAAATACCCTGCCAGTTTTCGTCAAAAAATGTACGTCCTATATATAACGAGCTCTAACTTTAATTATAACTATCTAAAAATAAATTTCCTAAGCATCTAATTACTTTGCTCACATATTATGATTTACTTTCTATTTAAACATTCTTGAAAGCATAATTTTCTGTAATGCAAAATACCTGAGTGGATCGCTTGAACTATACTTGAGAGTTGTTCGAACGAGTTTTTAAATTACAGACTGAAAAATTGGGAGACATAATAAACAGTATTGATGCAGTGGAAAAAGGTGAACAAATGACGAATAGGCGAATTGACAGCCATAACTCTTTTTTTTCGCCGGCGGGAGTAGAAGTTAGTTTCTCTGGTAACAAAAGAGGGACAGAAGTCTCGTATTATTCCCTAGGGAGATAATGTGACATATTTTCTTCCTAGGGAGTTTATACCAACTTTACATTTTCCGCATAGCTCTGCTCTTTCATTTCAGAACACCCTTCTCTGAAGCGAGTATAAACTGCTTCATACAGATTTCTAGATCTCACTGGTAGAAAGTTGGAAATCACTGCAGAAGCACTATCAATAGTTTCTTGGGGTTTTCCCCTCGATTTCTTCTCGAAGCTGTTTTCATAAATTCCAGTTTGATATTTGCTGTCACCATGGGTTGTCAACAAGATGCATGTTGTCAAGATACGAATTCCACAAACTATACTACTACTTATTATGACAAAACACTTTGACCAAATTTTTATTCATTCTTAATTTTTGTGTTTTCGCCAGCGTAAAAAATAGTATATACACCATTACACCACAGGACAAAATGCTATTTTCTCTCGGTGCTTTGTATCTCTAGGGCTTCGCTCTCGAGCTACAGATCGCACCTTGGAAAAAATCTTGCATTTCTGTCCCTTGATGTATAATGTTCTATTTTATTATGACTATTGATGATGTTACATGACCCATATGAATCGTTGCCTCATCATAACAATAAGTATTATGGATAAATGAATATGACTTACCGAATCTAAAGCAGCTTGCACTTCTGATTCGCTCGTAGTATCTAAAGCAGAAGTTGCCTCATCTAAGAGCAAAATATCTGGCTTCCTAACCAATGCTCTAGCTATGGCGATTCGCTGCTTCTGTCCTCCTGACAATTGTGCTCCTCTCTCCCCTATAACAAAGAATTATATGGTATTCTGACCATTTTTGTGCTATGGGAGGAGAAGTATTTTCATGATTGATTATACCCAAACAGCACAGAATATTCTATGAATGTTCTCACAACGTTCACAGCATACCTCCTTCAGAATATCCCAAAGAAAATTCATAGAATATGATGAGGATGTTCTGGATGTTCATTGACTGTTTTACGAGAATAAGGAAGTATTTAGCAGAATGGACAGTTTCATTCACCATTGGCGTGCGATGTTGAGGGGTACAAAAAGGCCTTTATTTGGGAAAAGGATATTAGGACTCATTTTAAATAACTTTTTCATCGGATTCATAATCAGTTTCCTCAAAACCTTCCCAATCCGTAGTCTTGAGATCACAAGAGCTAAAATAAAATATTTCAAAATACCGCTACTCACGACAACACTCTTTCAACGATGCAATTTTGATGGTATGTTGAAAATATAACATACAATCACCATCACAGTTTCGAGAAAATCGTATCATTAATAACTGAGATTCTGGGGCGGGAATTTGAATTGTTCTTGAGATTTTGAAAATATGAATTGGGGGGTTTTTGGGGATGCTGATTCTGAATCTGATAAAAACAGTTATATAAATAAGCCCTAATATCCTTTTTCCGAATAATTGTCTTTTTTGTACCCCTCAACATTGCACGCCAATGGTGAATGAAACTGCTGTTCACTATGCTTAATACTTCATTGTACTAACATACAATCACGACTAAAATTTCAAGAGAATAGCATCATTAATAACTGAGTTATCAGGGTGTATTCATGAAAAGCGGGACACACTGTATATTAATAGAATGTTCTGAGAATGTTCTGAAAAATAGTATAAGAACGTTTTTGGAACGTGAATGTTCATAGAATATTCTCAGAACGTTCCGTGCACCTTGTGAGAACATTCTGAGAATATTCTAAATGTTCCAACGGGAGTATTTTAAGAACGTTCTCAAAGTCACTTTGTGCCGTCTGGGTATTCTGATTTTCTCAATATTTGGACTGGGTTCTTGCTTCAATATACAGGGTGGTTGACTCACCTATAACAGTTTCGTATCCGTGGGGTAACGTCAGGATGAATTTGTGGACGTTGGCTTTCCTAGCAGCCTCTTCAATTTCGGTTTGTTTCGCATCTAGCTTTCCCAGTCGGATATTTTCTGCTATTGTGGTGGCAAAAAGGGCCGGTTCTTGGCTGACCACTGCGATTTTTTGTCGCAGCCAGGTTAGGTTCAGGTCTCGTATGTTTACACCGTCGATAAGAACCTATAAAATTAATAGTTTATATTCGTTTTCGAGTTAATGATGTGAGAATTTTTAAGTGAAAACCCCTGTATATGAGTTCTTGAATAATCCTTTATGAATAGGTAAACATTCTCGAAAACATTGCACCGTATTGTGGATGGCCAATAAATTTAATCTAGTCTGCTGAAATTTCAACTTATATCCTGTGATTGAAATTATACAGTGAGCAAAAAAAATTAGCAGGTAGGTTACTCACATTTCCAACAACTGGATCATAAAATCTTTGTAACAACTGAATGCAAGTAGATTTTCCACAACCCGAGCTTCCCACCAATGCAATGGTTTCCCCAAAATTGATCTGCAGATTCAACCCTTGAAGGATCTAAAAAACATGTAATGAAGCATAACTGATGATGATATCAATTGATCACTTGGTATTGCAAAGCTATACATACAGGGTGTCCGGAAATTATGCGCAAAAAATCAAGGAGGTGATTCTGCATGAGAAAACATGAGATTTATTTCATATATACTCGGGTCCGAAATGCATAGTTTTCAAGATACAGTGTGTTGAACTTTGTGTTGAAGTAATGTATCAATTTTGAGATTAATATCTCATTAAATACGCGAGTAATTAAAAAAAACAGCTTTTAGTTTCCAACTTTGACACCCTGTATATATCGAATATGGGCTAAAATGAAGAATAGTATTTAGAAACTCATATTGTTTTTGTTCAAGGAATATATATATGGTTAATGGATTGACCTCCTTTTAGCGGACACCCTGTATAAATTGACTTTGCCAAATTTTCATAATATAATCAGTTGTAGAAATATTGAGTGCTACTCGTTTTCACATTGTCACCCTGTATATACCTTAACGTCAGGTCGAGCCGGATAACTGAAAGAAACGTTCTCGAATTTGATGTCGGACCTGAAATTGTCCAGTTTTTTGCCACGATCTTTGCTCAGGTTGATTTTTGGCTCGCTGTCTAACACAGCGAATATTTTTTGCGCTGCTCCTCTGGCCGCCCCAAAAATTTCCAAAATTGGCGCGCCCATGCCAAAATTCCATGTCGCTATCAGTGTACAAAAAAATACCTGCGAATATTTCGAATTCAGAGGATGAATAATTGTGAATTGTAGAATTAAAATTGAAAATATATTGCGTATCAACATTAGAATAAAGACGCGGCAATATTTATAAGGAGGTGATTCCTCAGATCATTTTATGAAAAAAAGTTTGCATAAATGTAGGTCCGGAAATGCATTGTTTCCAACATGTAGTGTGTAAGAGTTCGTATAGGTATATAGCGATTCATGTTACGGACCTTCCACAAATTTGATAGATATATAGACATAGACAGATTGATACAAAATGATTGACGTTTGGATAACACCTGAAAATCATAGTTGAAAGTGGTCACTTTCAACAATTTTTGATTTTTTCAGTCGAACCTTCTTTTCAAATATCAATCAATCAAATATCAATCCTGTGAATTAGCACTCATTTACAGTTGCAACTGTAAATTAACCCCAATTTGAGTTGCAACTATGTAGAAATTAGAAGGTGTTTTGAAAAAAGTTTTCACTGCCTTATTCACAGTTGCAATTTCAAATTAGGAGATGTGTAGAAAAAAAGTTCTCTTGTTTCAATTTACAGGTGCAACTGTAAATTAGGCAAATATTCGTGAAATTTTTTTTTCTCAGGATGACAGTTCAGACACGTCGTAGAATTTTGATGTTTATTATTGTGCAAACTTCCCGAAAATGAATGCTTAACCAATCTTTCCACAGGTAATTTTAATCCTTTTGGTAAAAGTTAGGCAAGTCAATATGAGTTCAGTTTATCGTGCGGGTATTTCTCCTGGTGAAGCTACTGCGTTCGCGAAACATGTTTTTGAAAATTTCCTGGGAATCTCATCATTCGTGAAATTTTTCACATTTAATATGGATTTTCATCAAGTAACGACCGAGTCAATTCAAAACATAATGATTGATTTAGGTTTGATATCGAAAGTGTTTCTTTGAAATGCCGATCATACAAAATTGATTCGAAATTACTCGATACAAATTATTAAAGAGTGCCTTGCCTGGATTACCGCTGGAGTTTGGTAACGAAAATATTATGACATACATGACAGCCGGCTGCTGGGTATGTAATTTTGTTTATGTACTTTAGGGATTCAAAGGGTACTTTCATTCCCTATTTTCATGGAAAAAGTGGTACTTCGAATCCCTAGGAAGACATTTTGAATCCCTAGTGATTTATAGTACCACCTTTTACCCCGAAATCTAGATCACCATTGTTACTGAGGTCGTTGATATGGTAACAATAAACCACATCGATGACGTTTCAGAAATAGAGTACCTACCGATTATAGTGGCATTTAATTAATTTTTTCTTGTAATTTTCAACGTTCAACCTATCCTAAAGTACATAAAATAGTATATACACCTCAGGACTGATGACTTTTTGTCTCGGGATTTTGTAAGTTTATCAAACTACCAATGAGGAAGCGGAATACACAATGGAAAACACAGCATTTTATCCTGTGATTTTATCCAGAATCCAATCAACAGCCACAGTACAAAAAAAAAATATGTTTTCGACAACAATATTTTCATGAAAATTTCCCCTTTTGAATTTCATACTCACAGAAACCATATTCCCTGCAGTATAAACCCTCTCGGAGGCAGGCAGATACCTCTCTTCCAGTATCAGCCCCACGCCATACCAAAACGACAAGGCGTAGCAAGCGTAGACGAAGAACCAGAGGCATCCGTTGCTGAGGGAGTTGAACAGCCCCCTCTTGATGTTGTTGTTCCTGGCGTGCACCAGGTGTTTGTGGTACCTCTCCGACTCTTTTTCTTGCCCCTCGAACGCCACCACTGTCCTGATGGAGCTGAAGACCTCTTGGGCCACGCTGCCAGCAAAGCCGTAAGCTTCTAGTTCTTGCTGGGAGAACTTCGTGGAGATCTAGAATAGATATTAAAGGGTTTGGTGAGGTTAGGCACAGCCTCAGCTAAACAGAGGGTCACTTTGACTATTGAAGTCTTTGTTCATTCCCCCACTATCTTCCAAGCTGAAATGTATTCCAGCCTGAGCAAAGGTCTGAGGGCTGCCAATAATTACATCTGTCCAGACAGCCAAGCTGCTGAGCAGAGCCCTGAAATCATTCGTTTCTACCTCAAAGATTACATGGGACTGCTCTGAAACACTCATACATCTGGGAATTGACAAAAAAGACACACTTATATGGGTTCCAGCATGGCATGAAGGAATCAAAGGGAATGAGGCAGCAGATCGCCTTGCAAAAAAGGAGCAGAGTCTGCATTTTTTGGTCTTGTGACTTTCTGTGGGTCAAGCAAATGTCACCTGATGGCACAACTCAGGAAATGTGAGGGGATCGAAAAATCCAACTACAGGAGAGCAACTCTAGGTCAACAGAACGCGAAGAGGTCCATTAATCATTCGCAAAACAGAGCCAAAGAGCTACTCAATCTCAGCAAACCAGAGCTGAGGCTTATCACAGGCTTTCTCACAGGACACAGCCCTCTGAGGTACCATCCCAAGAAGATGGGTCTAGCGGAAACACTTGCTGCTTTTGCAACAATAACGCGACCTAGAGTGCTTCGAACGTCTCATTCCACGCTATTTAGATAATGTGGACACAAATATGTTTTATAAGAGATGGAATGTCATTTTTCTGTATCCCTACATTGAACGAGAGCAGGTATATTATTGATTGAAACCCTAAAGTTATATCAATATTATGTCAATGAATGTTTTTCCATGAAATGAATATTGGAATCTGATGATTCAACGAACACTTGAAATGTCGTCTCGTCTTTGGGCAACTCAATTAAATATTAACCAGGAGCTATTTCACTTCCAGTCAGCTGCTTATAATCTATAAGGCACAGATCCGACCTGTCCTGGAATACTGCTCCTATATTTCTAGTGCAGTACCCAAACATACCCTGAAACTGTTGGATTCTGTCCAAAGAAGGGCAGTTCGTCTCGTGGGTGATGCCTCGCTCACAAACTCACTCACTTCTTTGGAACACCGTAGAAAAGTTAGCGATCTGGCTCTATTTTATAGATATTTTCATGGATGATGCCCTTCTGAAATATCAACAATTGTTCCTTCTTTGGCAGTCTCCGCTCGATTAACCCGTCGAGTTGAGGCTTCGCACCCCTTCGTGGTCACTTTGGAGATCTGCAGAACATCTCTTTCAAAAGACTCGTTCATCCAACGAACAGCGAGGCTCTGGAACACATTGCCAAGGGAGGTGTTTCCCGAGGCATATAACCTCCAGAAATTTAAGGAGAACACCAATTCCTACTTCATTTTTATTGGTTCTCACGATTTTCTCTAAACATTACAGGATATCCCTGGTTCGTGGGAACCAGAATATAAAAAAAATTCTAAGAATTTTTGCAATTCGTTACTGAACAAGATATATCCGAAAACATTTTCGCGGGACGCCTATCCAATTTTCAGATCTGACGTATCAAATCTGAGAATTATGATGATTCAGGAATGTTCCAAATGATTTTTCATTTAGTATCGAATTAAAAAAATATTTCATTTTGAGAAAGGGTTGTTTGACCAGCAGTTTATGTTAACCTCAGTGAAAGCACTGTATAATGAAAAATATGAACTATCATAGTTACTTACCATTGTTATCAATGCCATGATAATGGTCGATAATGGTAATGAAACCACGCACACTAGTGCTAGCTTCCATCCCTTTATCAAGGCCATGATGATGCCAGCTACGAAGGTAGATTCAAAAAAAAGAAACACTCCGATTTTCTCTCCTATTCCTTCTTCTATTTTCGAGATATTCCTGAAAATTGTTCGAAATTCCAAATCATGACAATCATCAGAAAAATCAATTCTCAAAATTGTTGAGATTGTCTTTCTTCGTATTTCTGCATATAGTAGCATTATTTCAATATAATCATAGTGCAGATTCGTTTCTAAAACGTTCTATGATTGGTGAGAAGTCATATTTCTCAGTATACCATAACTATATTCTTCTTCTTCTTCAAACATTTTTTAAACAAGGTGACACGACTGACTATCGATTTAATTACCATCGTCATTTATTTATTCATTTATTTATTTCAGTTATTGCATTACAGTATCTTCTTCATTGATACATTTCATACAAATAATATATAAAGTATAATTAATTTTAAAATTGTAGAATTTCAAGGAAAGTCATATTTTCAACATTACTACGAGTATATTATATGTATATCGAGATGAAATTTGTTTAAAGAGACAAGGAGAGAAAATCAAAATAAAATTCGAAAAATTAATGTTTCACCTTCTCGATTGATTTCCATATACGCAGTATCACAAATCCAGTTGACATATTATGAAATTTAGTTGAAGCACTTTCCTTCTTTGAAAATATAATGAGTATATAGATCATGATCCATAAAAATTATCTACAACACGTCACTATTTCGTGATATGTATATTTTTGAATAATTATTTTTTAATTACATTTTCTAGAAAGTTATATATTTGGTGCATGAAAATTCATAGCACAACATTAGCACAACATTCAGTATCTGGTTTAGATTCCACGAATTATTATAGTCATTTCTGAGTCAGATAAATAGGATTTCCATCACTCTTTTCAATTCTGTGGGAGAATTTCCAAACTTACAATCATAATTTTTCCATAAAGATATCGCAAGAATATTACATTATTCATTGTTTATTGACACAAATGATATAGATTAGTGCTTTGTATTACCTGTCCTGAATTTTACAACTTGTTATTACGATCATAATTTCCCATGTGAGTGAAGGAACCCGAACAATGGAAAATATAACTTATAAAAATATACATCAGTGATTACCTCGTAATGAATTTACTATCCCGTAATACGCAAATATTTGAGAGAAATAAAATGTTATAGACATTTCGATATTTATACAGGGTGTATCTGAATCACACAGAAAAAAGTCAAGGGATGTTTCCTTGTGACATTCTATCAAATGAAGTCCATATCATGTGTCCTAACTTGCTCCGTACTTGAGCTACAGGATGTTGAAGTTGGAAGTATCAATTGTTTTTAGTTTCAACCCTCATGTATAAGCCTTCGTGGTGCCGAAATTCAGTATGGATGGAGACTGAGAAAGTCTCAAAATGATTTTGATTAGGGTTATTGAGTAATCTCAATGGAAGGGTTGAAAACACCTATAGGACCAAGAAAAAAATATCCTGACGTTCCGCCACGGTCTCATAGACCGGGATTGAGGTTGATACACCAGGATGACTCGGCCTATGAGACCGAGTCAATTGAACGACTCCTGAACCCGTCTGAATTATTGTCACTAATATTGCGGAGAGTGACCGAGACAGCTTCAATGACAAGTTTGCATTGCAAATTATCTTCATCAGACACACAGACAACGAATGTTTGGTATGCCAATACTGTGGAATAAACGTTTATTCAGTGGATAAATTGTATCATATTTTTTTTAGTGAATATAATCGAATATAAGTGATCCAAGAATACGTAATCTATATAAATATATATTCTTATGAAATTTTTTTCGACAATCTAGGAAGAATACTGGTTCTTCAGGACATACTTTGAAGAAGGTGCGTTATTCCTTTCAAATTAGGGGCTGACCTCCCTCTGACTCAGTGAATTTATACGATCTCGAAATCTGCTCATTTTCTAAACTAAACAAATATCACTTACACATCCACCGAACATGAAATGAACAATTAGCGACTCCCCCCCACCAGTGTACAAAAATCTGGATACACGTGACATATTCAAAAAAGACATTTGAGTGAAGTATTTTGTACTGCACTAGACCACTACACCGAAGCCGGACCGAGCTGCCAGACCACGCGGCGTATACAGGTATACATGTATACACGAGTGCCGAGTTGGTCTATAAGACCGAGCTGGAATTCTTGAATTTGTAGGATCTAGGGTCCCAATTATCAAAAATTTCAACGATGTACTATCATCTGTAAGCTTTCGCTACATAGAGTCACTGATGGTTTCTGAGACAAATTTTTGAATTTTGCTTCGGCTCTAATATCAAAAGTGTGAATATGAGCCCGGCAGTCAAGGTGTTAAAATTTGGAGTCGAATCGAATTTTTATTGTTTCCTCAGAAACTAAGCTATAGATACAAAAATCTCACAAAGGGTAAAAAAGTTGTTATTTCAATAGTTCAATCTAATAAAAATTTGAATCTGACAAAAACCGGTGGTGTACAATGGCATTCACCATAAATATCGATAAATATGTGACGCCACTGGAAATATTATTTCGAATCTATTTGCACTAGAGGAAGCTCCATATTACTATTAACGAAACCACAACGTTTCATTGGATTGATGAAAAGACAATTGAGAAATGAATAGAAACAACATTTTTCATGGAAATATTAATACACTGTATCTCGAAAACGAACAAAGCAAGTTAGGACAAACGTTTATATGAACTTTATTTCCTACATCTGATAAGGAAATGATATATGCCCCACAAGGAAAGTGAAAACATTTTAGATTTTTTGACATACAATGAAGTACCTTATTGATTCATCGAACACAGTAAAATAAGAGCAATATTGTGTTACAGCCGTAGAAAATAATATATTGTTCAACGAGCACGGAATGATAGTGATTTCCTACGAGATTGAAGTTTGCAGCATAAGCCATAGGCGAATGCTATCATTCGAGTAGGAAATTAGCATGCCGTGTAGGTTATACACTATAATTTTTCCACGGCTATAATAGATAACAACGGCATTTTCGATATCTTCGTCTTGTAGCCATCTGATATCCTGTCAAGTAATGCTCATCTATTAGACAGAGCTGTCATTTCTTCATATTTGACATTCCATGAGCGATGAGATTTTTTTGAAATAATAACACAATGTAGTCATTGTTATATCAGATACGAAAATGATATTGATGACATACAAAGTACCTCATTGACGTATCGAACACAGTAAAACAAGATCAATGTTGTGTTATAGCCGTAGAAAATAGCTAATTTCTTGAAAACCCTCACTTATTTTCTTGAATGTCAGGACAAAAATTATCAAAATAGACTCACTGTGTGAAAGTTGAAGCAAAGTCTCCCGTTTGATTTACATCGAACCATCCGATATCTTGGTGCAGTGTTTTTTCGAGAAACACACTCCTCATTTTGAAAATCTGAAAGAAGTTATGATCATGATTTGATACATTTTGACAGTAATTATTACGCTGCTCTTTCAATATTCGAAGGAAGTCGAAAACTAATATAGTATCTCTCAAAATATATAGTTTGGGAAACATAATGTATTTCAAACTTACTCCCACAATCAGGTGGGCATGAAATTTGATCATCATCATTATCTTCAGTAAAAACTGTCTGTAGATTGATTTAAATTTTTTTTTCTGTCAATAAATTCATTTCCACAAGATGGATATTTTCGATAATCAATGAACACTCTCTCACAATAGAGCAAAAATTTGTTTTCATGCAGAAATTATGCCTTTTACTCGCCTTTCACCAACGCATTTTATTTTACCCTGGTGCATTCATTTAGTGTTGATTATATGTTGTTTTTTCCATAAAAGTCAGTACCTCTATATGAATTATTGATTGCCAATCCAATTTGATTTCTTTCAATGTTCAAATATTTTCAAATATTTAGAAAAAACAATCGTAAACCATTCTACCAGCGGACCTTTACTACTCACTAAGACTTATGATACTTACTGGTATGAAATATTGATTGCCGATCCATTTTGATTTTTCTCAATGTTCAAATATTTAGAAAAAACAATACTAAACCGTTCTACCAGCGGACCTTTATACTACTCACTGAGGCTTATGGTACTTACTGGTATGAACGTCATACAAGCATGTGGAAGTCGGAAATAACAATGACAAAATTATTTTTGTTCAGAAATGTTCATTGACGAATTATTAAATGTCAGTAGATAGTAAATCAAAAGTTAAGATAGGGACATGAAAGCCGTTTTGACCGATAGTGAAAAGTTTCGACACAAAAAAATCCTAAAGTTGAAAAATCTCGATTTTGAACACCCTATAAATAAATAAGTAAAAAAATGTGTCCCTTGCCAAATTGAAATCGAACTGTACGAGCGACTTTCAATTTTTTTAACAACATCGGAGGATTAGGGAGTTGACAAGTTTTAGCTGGGACACACTGTATGAAAAAACATAGGTATGAACTCAAGAGCATAAGTTTCAGAACGGTTTTGTTATCGTTTTTTAGAAATGGGATGTTTGTCACCGAAAATATTCGAATCACTGGAATTTATTCGTCTTCCACTAGAATTCAATGTATTTCCAACTGACCAAATTATTTGACACACAAATGCATAAAATAATGTGAACAATTCAAAATATTGCGTGAAAGTTGTTCCCGAAGAGGAATGTTGATTTTTAATGTGTCACAAATAATGCCCGTTGGTAGCTTATTCGACCAGACGCTCGTGTACAACCAACTGTAACGCATACTGTGTAACATTGGCTATCAAATCGACCAGCGAGAATTTCGTAGCAACGCGTTCATGCATTACTACCATTAAGGTCGACGTTAGAAATCAAAATAGCCTGAGTTTGACCCTTAATGTTCAATGTTACGAGCTACAATAATTATTGTCTACCAGTGAGCGTTAAAGGGTTAAAGATGAGTATTTCAAATGTTGTGTATATGGATTACTTGGATACAAAAATCTCACCTGTCTATTGGAGGTGAAACTATACAAAACAACCGAAATATACGTCGCTACAATCGTGACCACCCCTATGATGCAAGAAATAATGGCAAAAATCTTCACATCAGCAATCAAACTATCTGCCAAATTGTTCCTTTCTTCCACTGTCATAGTCCCATTCAAGGCAGTTGCATAGTCCACTATGGAGCCAGTCATATCACCGAATATCAGCATCATGTAGGGCTGAAGAGACCCACAAAGTATGGTACACGCTGATGCTAAGAGGAGGCATAATTTGTCTAGACTTGTCGAGTATTGAAACTGAAACAGGAATGCAATTAAATATCTGAACTATCAAATGAACAAGCATGCGCAATCCCATATCTCAAGTTTCAATCAAATCATTAAAATAGTATCAAAAAATGATAATCAAATCACAAAAATGTAATAATTAGATATTCCAACTTTCGATCTTATAATCAATATACTATTGGAAAACTTTCCAACTCTCAATCAAATCATTAAAATACTATATCAGAAAAGGAATAATCAAATTGACAAAAATGTAATGATAACATGTCTCAACTTTCGATCGTATCATCAAGATACTATCGAAAACGGAATAATCAAATCCATAGAAAACAATCAGATATATCTCAACTTCCTATCGAATCATCAAAATACTTCCAGAGAAAGAATAATCAAATCAACAAAAATGTAATTTGATGTCTCAACTTTCGAGCATGTCATCAAGATACTATGGGAAAAGGAATAATCAAATCTACAAAAATACAATCACATATAACTATCTCATCTTTCAATCAAATCATTGAAGTACCATCAGAAGAGGAATAATCAAATCAACACTAATTCAATCAGATATCACAACTCTCCATCATATCATTAAGATACTATTGGAAAAGGAATAATAAAATCCACGATAATGCAATCAGATATTTTTCAACTTTTGATCAAATCGATAAAATACTATCAGAAAAGGAATAATAAAATCAACAGAATGTATTAATTAGATATCTCAACTTTCGATCGTACCATCAAGATACTATCGGAAGAGGAATAAAAAATCCAAAGAAAACAATCAAAAATATCTCAACTTTCAATCAAATCATCAAAATATTTTCAGGAAAGAAATTATCAAATCCGCAAAAATGCAATCAGATATATTTTAGCTTTCGATCAAAACATTAAAATACTATCTGAAAAGGAATAATCAAATCTACAAATACGCAATCAGATATCCCAAATTTCAATTGATTTATTGAAATATACTATCAAAAAAGAAATGAATAAATCAACAAAAATGTAATTAGGTATCTTGACACTCAATCAAATCATCGAAATACTATCGAAAATGGAATGATAAAATCAAGAAAAATGCAATCAGACATCTGAGCTTTCAATCAAATCAATAAAATACTATCAAGAAAGGAATAATCAAATCTATCCATGATTGTTGTTGGTTAGTGGTAAATCAGTGTTCTGTGAGGAAAAATTAGGTTATAATAACTCACCAGACGATAATATGGAATAGTTGGTTCTTTATTGGAATCATCAGGTTTTTTTCTGAAAAAAAAAATGAATTTGAATCTCAAGGGGGCAACTACCATTTGAGTTCTTTCAAGAATAGAATTTCAACATTCTGTTCCTTTGTCTCGAAAGCAATTGAAATCCAACTCGAACTTATCTCCCTATATACAGGGTAGTCCGAATTCCACCTGCCCTATAGTTTCTGTTTCAACAGAGATGAAAACCTGGACAGTATGTCCCTAGTTTCTATTTGGTGAACATTAGTCTTGCAAATATTATTTGAATTTTGAAACATTCCTAAATCTGAAACCAAGTTCCATTCATTCTAGTTTTTCGAGATTAGAATAATCTCTTGGAGATAGCAATGATATTGAAATGACAAGACGTATATTTTAATGTTATAAAAATTACTCACATACTCAAAACCCCCATATCGACGTTATTTTCTTGGGAAGCTAAATTCAAAATCACAACATATCGGAAATGCAGTGATAAAAACACAGCGACACTATAACAAAATGCTGGCAGTGGTGAAATTTCTAATTATATTGACTAAGTATAATACAAAAGCCATATGTACACAGACGAGAATAAAACTGTGGGATTAAGCGTCATCTATACAGGGTGAGTCATGAGGAACTGTACCTACTTCTATCACGAATAGAGGCTCCCCAGGAAAATACCTAATGTCCATCAGAAAGTGTCTTCTCCACTTCTTTCCCAATATACCTATAGGATGAATTATTATGAGATCTGGCAAAAACATCTTTTGGTCATAACATTTCAGCAGCTTCTTTGATTCGTCTGATTTTTTCATGGAATATTCCGCAACTACCCTCTAATCGACTGACCCATCCAGAATCTGGAAAATCCAGGAATGTTCTTGAAAAATTTTGATAGTTTAGTTTATCGCAAAGAGTTCATCCTGTATATCGTTTTTGTAAACTGTGACAGAGAAATTTCAAAGGTCACAAACAAACATCAAAAGTAAAATATTCCAAATTTTTTCTCACACTTTCACTGGTTTGAAAAAAAAACTATAAATTTTATGAAAAAACGAAAATTTGGCAACACATTCATCTATTAGGAAATTAATACTTCGCAAACCATAAATTTTACGGATAACAGTAAGACTTGAATTTTCAATGCTTCAGCTCAATGGAAATCAACATATAATTCTATTTTCAGGCCTGGATCTTCATTTTTCTTCTCGTGGAGGATAAATAATAATCACCCTGTAGATCTTTTTCGAATCAGTGGATGGGGTATCTCAGAAGATGTTGATGACCATCGCTATATATGATTATATGATTTCAATTCACAATTTTTTCTATTCGATTTGTTTTATTCAATTAATTTGGTCACTTATTTTCCGTACTAGAATTGATTATCCGCCTTTGTCATTATAGCTTTTGAGAAATGATTGTGAATAAACCTTTTTTTTCTGTTCGACTATCTTGAATTATTTGCATTGATGACCATTAGGATCTAAACAGATACCCCATTCCCTGATTTGAAAATGATGCAAAAAAAATTTAATTACGAAATCCAGGCCTGATAATGAAAGAACATGTTGATTTCCATTGGGCTAAAGCATCAAAAGTGTGAGTCTTACTTCTATTTGTGAAATTTATCCGTTGCGAAGTAATTATTTTTGAATGAATAAATTATTTGTTGTCAAACTTTCGATCTTACTTATAATTTATCGTTTCTTATAAAATTCTGTGAAAGCGTGAGGAGAATTTTGTATATTTCATTTCCGATGCTTGTTTGTGTGCTTTGAAAATTCCCTGTCACAGTTTACAGAAACCATATGCAGGATAAAGTTTTTGATGAAAACTAAACTTTCGAAATTTTTTAGAAACGGTCCTGGATTTTCCTGATTCTGAAAATGTCAGTCGATTAGGGTTAGTTAAGGAATATTCCATCGGAAAATCAGACGAATCGAAGGAGTTGTTGAAATGTTATGCTCGAAAGATGTTTCTGCCAAATCCCATAATTCACCCTATATATTGGTAAAGAAGAGAAGAAGACACTTTCTTATGGTCATTAGGTGTTTCCCTCAAGGTCCTCTATTCGTGGTAGGAGTATGTACAGTTCCTCATGACTCTCCCTGTATAACGTCGTACAATAATAATTATTGTCTTGAAATAGTTTATCTTGAGTTATGTTATACCATTACAATGTGACCAAGGTAAAGTTGCCCAGCATGGGGATATCGGAAACGGAACTCAGATACAAATTCGATTAAATGGGAACAAAGTTTCGCATGCAGAGGGTCATAAAAACGGCTTCGAAAATTTTCAATTTTCAAAATCTAAGTACCTTTTCAATTTTTTTGTCGTACATGAACAATTGTGGAACCCTAATAACACAATTATGTTCCATGGATATCCTTAGGACGTCCTGTCGGGACATTCAGGACGTCCATAGGATGTTCGAATTCAGTACCGTGAACGTCCATTAGACGTCTGTGGGACGCACAAATGTCCCACTTGAGGACCAACTAGGAACGTCCTTGAGGGATGTCCCTGAGACAACTACCGAATACCTAAATCCCACAGTATTCCTCATCAAGGATATCATTAGGACATTCGAAGGACAACCTATCAGCAACGCTGCGGTATATCAATTGGATGTCCATAGGATGTCCCAAGGACGTCCAAATTATTCTTGAATTTGAATTTATTTAGGCCCCTCTAGGACCAGATCTTGCATAACTGATGAGGACATCCAGTTGAGTTGATGGTCCGCAGAAGGTCCCCAATAGATCCTGTTTCCCAAGGATGTCCAATGGACTTACGTGTAAGTTAACGTCCTCGCAGGGACAGCATATTGAAAGTACCGACTGGATGTCCCTGAAGGAACGTTAAAAATCATATCCCAACAGGGATATGCCAAGGACGTCCTTGCATGGACATTCTACAATATGTACCACGTGGGACGTCTAAGGGATGCTATTTCTAGGACATTTGAAATGATGTACCAGCTGGGACATTCTGTGGACGTCCTTGGTCGGACATTGCATGAGATGAACGGGATGGGACGTCCAAACGACACTTATTCTTGGTCCGGGACATTCGGACTCGAATTGTACCAAATAGGGACGTCCCTAGGACGTTGTGTGCTATTAGGGAAATGACTTCGAGCTTTTTGTATTTATTTAACCTTTCATTCCACTTTGAACATTGTGGCTATTTTGTAGTTGAACATACATTTCCCAGCAACTTTTGATGAGAGTTAACGTGGTGATATTGATTTATCTACGCAATGTTTCGTATTCGTAAAACCATCATCAACTTTTGTTTCAAAAAACGGTCCTGATTATGTGTTTACAGATTCTGAAGGCATTTTCTATTCTAGAATCAAGGTGGCTTGAATGTGTTTCGATCTAGCTTCAGCTATCATCAATGTTTTTTTCGAAATTCCAAAGAGGAAATTCCATCAGTTCCACTTATTTCTGACAATTCGGTGGTAAACATTGATGTAGTTTCAATACTAGATACTGAAAAAACATATTTCACTAAATTATTCAATGCAAGGTAACTCGTGTAAGAATCCATTTACATAAAACAATATTTGAAGCGCTGCATTGAATTTGGTGAAATATGTTTTTTCACTTCTCAGTTATGAGTACAAACATTGAAATATAAGATTATTGTCGTTTCAGTAAGATATTAAGTATTTAGGTGCGTATGGAATAACAAGGTCTGATTATTTAAGTTTGTTTTGTAGTAGATAGGTACCAAGTAATGAGCACACTGCAATCCAAAAGAATGTTGATTTAGACGTTCAATGATAAATATCACAATCATTTTGCATGAAAAACAATAATTATATCATTCATTTTCAGATTGTTATGATTCCAAATAAGATTTTATCTCCCAATTATTTTTTTTTCTTGGACGTAATGTTTTTTTTATTTGCGATTTCAATATCAATAATTTCTTGTATCTTCCTCTTCTTATGGCGTTGTTTCGTCGATTTTCAATGAACAAAATAATACTTCCTTTGACGAAAGACTCTACAAACTCGAAAAACCCCAGATACCAATTTTGAACAGAATCGGATCATAGTTACAAATCTCGTTCGCCATATTGGAGAATTATAATCTTCGACCCCAAAAATCCTAAGACACCAATTTTGAATAGGAACGGATCATAATTGCGAAAGTCGTCTGCCATATTGGATTCGAACTTGAATTCTCAGATTTTGATAAAAAAATCATAATCTCTGACCCCAAAACCCCTAGATACCAATTTTGAATAGAATCGGAACATATAATTACAAAACTGGTCCGCCATATCGGATCCGCCATCTCGAATTTTCCAATTTTGATAAAAGAATCATAATCTCTGGCCCCAGAAACCCCTAGATACCAATTTTGAATAGAATCGGAATAAAATTGAAAAACTCGTTCGCCATATTAGATCCGCCATCTTGAATTTATTATTTTTTTCTCTCATGTAAAAACCTTCTTCAGACAATAACATAACAGACATAACAAAAAAAAAAGAATTCGTGGAATCGGTCAAGAAGGTCACGATTCTATAAAGGACATACAGACATACGGACATTCATTTTTACATAAATAGATAAAGTGATGAAGTTGTTGTTACTCTGGAAGAGATCTTATTTCCAATTTGAAGGCAATTGACCTTGAATCCCAAAAAAAATTTCGGCTGCGGCGCATTTTTTGCCATACAGAAATGTTCTCTGAGTTTCTTGACGTCCTACTGGAATGGAATTGTTATCAATCTGGAAGAAATCTAGCGATGAATAAACAACAACTTTCCTGGGTAGCACCTGCCAGTCACAAGATTGAATTGAACCTTCTCGAAGTTTATACACTCCTGGCAAAAGGAATATTTTCATAGGAAGTCAATACGCAATTGAATATTCTCGAAGTTTATACACTCCTGGCAAAAGGAATATTCGCATTGTGATTAGAGATCCACAAGTATATCTGAAGAGAGAAAGCGACGTAAGCGACGTTGCCAACTTGTGTGTAGCTCGTGTGGCAAACATGCGACTGA